AAATAAAGTTTATTATTATTATAATTACTAGTGAAATAGGAAATATTACATTACGTATTTGAAGTCATTCTCATTGAAAAACTAATTATGCAAAATTTAGAGAGGGTTTGACGTTAGAAGCGCCTAAGGGTAAGGATAATTCGTTGCACATTTATCCAGTTATCTCTTTCGGGGAACTTGAAGTTGTAGTTTAGAAACTTTTCACAGAAAAAAAAAAGAAAAGTCTTGAACAATCTTGGTTTTGCTTTGAAAGTGATAATGGCGTAAAGTATCTTTTCTGATCTAAATGGGGCATGTAAGCCTGTCGGAAGTTTCAACTATTGAAAATCAAACTCATAAATTAAGCAATGTTTATACTGCTGCTCGGATAATTTGGCCATGATTAATAGTAACAACCCTTTTTACGGTTGAACCTGGTCGAGTCTAGGTCATGCATATTTTTATATATTCTGTAAGCATCTGATAATTTCACAGTTTTAAAATTGCTGCACATGGTCTTTTTTGTTTTTGTTTTTTTTTCTCAATAGAACTATGACTTGATTTCAGCATTGATGAAAAGGCCGTGATGTTAAGAGACTAGAGTCTCTTTTAAAGGACAAATCTTCAGCTTGCGCTATAATCAAATTATTGGAATATATGTACTTTCTGAATTAAAAACGGAATTTATTTTGTAAATGATCTCGTTTTGCATGCAGGTATTTGATTTTTACAGCTTTAGAAATAGATATCCTAGATAACCTATATCTGTAATGCAATTTCCTCTGGGCGTGGAGATATTTCCGTCACAACTGGCTGTGGTATAAATAGTGCATGGAAACGTCTAGAATGGTAGACTAAATTCATACAAATCCTTAGCTCATCAACCCAAACAAAGGTAAACTTATGTTTTTTGATTTTATGAAGGCTTTTAATTTTTTACCGTGCTTCTTCGGGTACACATGGGAAAATGAAATTTAGCAGGAGATTATCTTCTCTTGATCCTTAAGAACAGTTGGGACCCTTATCGAAAGTCTTTTCCAAAATATTCTTCAAATCCCGCTTTCATCAAATGATTTCTAAATAAGAAAGTGTCGCCTTCCTCAAGAAGTTGGGCCATAATCCGTTTATTTGCCGAACTTTATTTTTTATTTACAAATGAAAGGCTGTTTCTAATTGGTTAAGGTTAAATAGCATGTATTTCATTGCAAGCCCTTAGCTCTTTATTGTTCCTTTACAATTGCATGTTTTTGTTTTCTGGGCTGTCTTTTTCCTTGCCGTTTTTTCACTCTCCCCGATGAACCAAAACGCAATGTGAAGATATTTTCTGGTGATCTGTTAAATATATAATGCATGGAAACCTCCCTCATTTCATGGACAACGACTGCTTTCCCGCGTAACACAAATGTTACTTGTTTTCATGTGATCATCCTTCGTTTCAACAGTTGTTTAATCATGATGAGAACCAAATTCTACAAAAATACGAACGACTATTTATTGTACATTTTTGATCCCACATTTCATGATTATTTCTCTTTTAATTGTTTAGTTGAGACGGAAACGGGAACCATGGCAACTGGTAGGGCAAGTGATTCAGCTCTTGACAAACCGCTGAGCGACGAGCGTAGAAAGATTTTGAAAAGAGTAAAACGGGACCTTGTAAGAGATATGGATGTAGACGAAGTTTTACTAAATGGGCTTGAAAGCATTTGAATAGCCTTCCTCTAGCTTGAGAGGCAGGGAGCATTTAAAATATGTCAACTAAATAATTCTGCTGTAATGTGATATAGACAAGTTGGAGGGGAAAATATAAGTTTTCTTCACAGAGTATCGATAAGTAAGACTATTAATAAACGTCTGTATCATAAAGTACAGGCATGCTTATACGTTTTTGAGTGAACTGAATCTCTAAGTTTCATAAATTTATGCAGACAATCGCTTTTATTTTCAAATTCTATCCTTAGTTGCGTAAATGTGATCTTCCGGCTGACGGTAGTCCTGAAAAGGTCTGTGACGGTTAGAGTGAAAAGTAAAAACTGCCTATAGGATTTCTAAGCTTCTTAATCGTGCCATTGAATACGGAAGAATGTTTTACTCAAGTGTAACGCTGGGGACATGCCATATGAGACCATGAAGGGTTACAGTTCGACACTGGAATTTTTGAATCGTGAGAGTTTCCATTCCATTTCGCTTCGGAGAGAGTACGACAAACAAACAACTTTTCAAAGGCGGATTTATTGTTAAGTATCAAAAGAATAGCTGTTTATTGTTCGAGACCAGAATGTTCGACCATCTTCAGTCAAGGAAACATCAAGCTCATCGAGCTTTGGACAAATCTGCGTCACTACAGGTATATACATCGCTAGCTTTGAATGAAAGACGTTGTCGCTTCAGATATATAACATTTGTCAAAAAAGACATTTCAGTCTACCTTGCACTTTTTGCTCCAATACTGTAAAACAAGGTCCGAAATCGCGAGTACCATGGCTGCTTTAAAAAAAATGTTTTTTCTAATCGTCATATGGTACATTTTGGTCACCAGAAAAAATTTAAGATGCAAAAAAGCAAATACACTTTTTTTCCTCCAAGATATTCCTACCTCTAAATGATCACCAGCTGAGTATAAAAGAGTATAATGAGAATGTTACGGACGTTTCATTTGTTAAGGGGCTGATTGACACAAAAACCATCCAGAACATGCACTACAAGTTAATCGCCTGCTGGCGAAATTCTGTTCGATGGCCTCTTTCAATGCAGCTTCCTCCATTAGCAGGCTGCGTATCATTTTAAATGGCTTGTTCCTCCTCGTGTTCTGCTGCCTTTTGGGAAGTTTATCTACATTGTTCAAAGCCAACAAAATAAATATCGTAAGTTACACTTAATTAATATTTCTTACAACAGTGATTTATGAGAAATACAAAACTTTCCTTACTCGATTAAAACTTACTGATAAACCTACTTTAGATTTAGCCTTTTAACACGTTTTGATCAAAAGCATCTCTAGTCTGATCAAAAACAAAAAAAGATACAGTATGCTTGAAAACACTCAACTCAACAGAATCCTTATTTTATCCCTGACATACTCTTAGTTGAGTCAATCAGCATAGTGTACTCTTAAACCCAATCTTTAAGCGCTTTCGACCATCAAATAATATCAAAAATTATAGTCTTATCGTTTCGTTATCATGCCGTCGTTGTCGTCGTTACCGAGGTACTTTCGTATTGATCATCGTTTGTCGTTATGCTCCCTTCGTTTTCATCTTCGTGGCATCGTCTTTTCAGTATTTGTTTTTCATCTTCATGTTCCCGACTTTGTCACGTCGTGGCATCTTCGTGAAGATCGTTCGTTTTTCGTCGGTATGGTCTCGTCCTCGTCGTCGATACGCTCTCTTCGTCTCCGTCACAATGAAATCTTTTATTCCGTCGTTAACTCGTATATCACATTTTTGTAAAATGAGTAACTTACCAAACATTTGCCATCCACGCAGATGTCTGTGGTCTCTTGATTACAAGGGGTCCCATCAATAACTTTGTCCTTCAGTTTGAAATAAATTGCAGTGCCAGCCATGCGGCAGTACAGCTTGCATTGATTTTCTTTGCGAACTGTATCAGGACAATACATACAGCCAGTTAGAAAAGAACTGGTACAGTTAGAAACTTCATAGACGTAACGTGAAGTTCTCACTTACTTCCAGCATATTTTGGCAGCCACTGAGTCGGTCTGAAACTCCTCGACCCAATACTCAGACGTCGCCCATGCGTATTCGCACATTGCAAGGCTCGGAAATCCGGTGACCCTGGTGGACATTCCTGCCAATATAACAAACCAACAACACTTGCATTAAGCTGACGGGCACAAGGCAAGAACGACTGCCTATCAATAAGTGGAAACACTCGATGAAATAAATCACATTACAACATTCTTACCTGAGTATTGCATGACACAAAACGTTTTCGTTTTCCAACGCAGTATTTACCTCCATTTTCTGGGCTGAAAAATAAGATAAAGGTCCATTTTCCTTTGATAACAAGTAGTTTTGATATATCAAAACACTCTAAAACTGCATAACATGGCAAGAATTATGTTCCAAGACAAAGTCCTATTTCTCTTTCTATTACGAGCAAAGTGAACATCGGCGTCCGCTTATCGCTAATGGAAATTGTGCGTGTGACATAAATAACTAAGCTAAATGGCATGATAAGAGTTTCGTGATTAGATGAAGAAATTAGTTGGGTACTTACATTGGTTTGTTACACTTTCTGTATGCGAAGGAAACCCCTCCTCCACATTTTCTTGTGCATTCATTGAAGGAACCCCATGGTCCCCAGCCACCGTCTACTGGTTTCAATTTTCGTTTCATCACACACTGACCTTTGATGCACCACTGAGACAGGTAAAAAAAAATTCACATCAGCAATTGAAGTGCCCTATGAAGCTGATCTTTGAGACGTCACAGACTGACGGCTAAAGAAGGAGAATAATGTAAGCAACCCTTTCGCGTCACGATACAACACCTCCGTCACTCATGTCCAACATACATTACAAACTATTTTCCAGCAAAGGTGACACAACTAAAACATCCCACTGATAGCAGCGTTAGTGCGGGCATGTCTTAAATGAATTTACATAGCTCCGTGAGACTCTGTTAGACTCTTTTTGCAATATTGTAATGTTCATACTGGCCAGTTAACTAAGAAATTTTAGTTAACAATTATTTTTGATAAATTCCATTTAAGTAGTCGAGCTTCTTCCTTGGTCCACCTCGAGTGAAGAGTTAAAGATAGCTCGCTTAATTCTACACCTTCGTTATGGAAAAATTTAAAGGAAGACGGTTTCTTTTGTAATAAATCTAGTACTTATTTGTTAACGACTTTATGATACAAGTAATTATTTTTGTTGGAAAAGGTTGTGAAGTGTTAAAGGTATAAGGTGTAGTCCCGTGATGAGTGTCTATTGAAGAAAGTTCGGTGATTCTTAAAACACTAAACTTTTTGTGTGGTGGTTGTTAACGAGAATATCACCGTGAAAACCGCTCGTGATAGAAGCAATCTAAAGATTATAAAATAACAAAAGAGATCTGAAAAAGAAGTTGGCTTGTTGCAAAATCACAAATTTTATGAGAGAGGGAAGGAGCGACGCAGTATTAATCTTTGTGCAAAATTCTGGTGTCCTTTCAATGTGCATAGACTAGTATTACACGTTGCCTGGGTAACTACGTTAGAACTTTCTAGACTAAGAAATCTGGTGTACTAAAAGTGAATAAATATTTTTTATTGCCATAATTCTGATTACATAACAGGGGGGTTAGATGTCCTAACGAAGGGTATGATAGGACCTTCCTTTAAGTCCTTAGAAGGAACAAGAAGTTTTTGCGCAGCACTTCCAAGTAAGGAACAATCTGCCTCCATCTAATTGGCCTAATTAGAAGGCAACTTTCCCTGCGAAACATCCGTCCCGTTGTATATTATGTTACACCAAAAGAAAATAATGGGTTTATTATTTTCTCCTGGTTAAATATGAACGTGTTTGACACGGAAGAATTTGTATCCGCTGCAATTTAGGAAGACAAATATTAAACTTAATCGGCTTATGATTTTGACCTACGACCCTGTTATGTGGGCAACATTGAGAGCGCACCGTTTTAAAAGGATATGAAATGTATGTAAACTACTTGCAGCCAACGAAAACAGCTTTTGGTTCAAGTAACAATAGTTGTCCCAAAGTTTTCACAATGTAGATACAAGTTTAAAATATCGTGTTTTTGAAAGATTGAAGAGGTATCAATTTGTCACTAATTAAGAGATTTATTTTGAAAGGTCTTCGTTTAATAGGATTATCTTTAATAGAACTGAAAAATCATCTTCAAACAAGAGGATATGCTCAGATCTTGAGAGCATAGGAAAAATGTCCGAACGACAGATATGTTTTCTGAGTGAATTGATGTATTCGATACAGTCAACACCTTTGTGGTTTTTCACTCAAAAATAAAATCGGAAATATTCTGAGGGAAGAACGAAATGCGAACATTTCATTTGTAGACAGCGATGAGAAACAAACAACAGTATTTAAATATTAACAGGCAAATTAAGTTGAAGAAATCAAGTTGTAACCAGTGAAAATCAAAACGTAGAAGAGGAAATAACTCAAACACGGGTATCTGATGATAAAATGATAACATAAAAAAGGAACATATCATTTACAAAGATCTAGTAAGATCTGTAGAAATGAGTTCTAGTAATTTGAGAAAATGTCTAAAATTGTTATTTGATAACAGAGAGCTGTTTTGTCAGTACCTTCGTCTATCACAAACTTAACAGTAAATAAGCGATCCCTATTTGCGAATCTTGAGAAGGTCGTGCGCGGTCTGTCGCTATCTTCACCATCCCACGCTAATCTTAATCTGTCTTGATGAAATTGATATTTTTGCAGTTGCTTATTCCTCCAAACTAATACATCACTTTTGTTCCCCTCTAAGGTTAGATAGCACAACACACACAAAAACGGCAGTTATCTCGACACGGTCAAAATAATCTAAGGAAAGGCAAATCGAAGTATTTTTGAAACATTTTTTTTACAAGAAAAAATCATCAGGACATTTCGTATACGACCGGGAACATCAGACAACCAACGCACGCGAAAAATTGGTTGGTATGTACAAAGTTTATGGGAAGTTCACAGATGGTTGACTGTGTTAAGTAAGCGATGATCCTCAATTACAGCCTTCTCATGATTAGGCTTAGTTTATGACAGCATGTTTCGACAGATTCGATTTGGTAAATGTCTCTTAAGGAACGTGTTAATTGTTAGAGTACCAAAGGTGCGCGTGAGTTTCAATTGGAAAGAAGACATGTGGAATGGACTAACAAACGAGGGAAACCGGAAGTGTTCCATTCCAGTGGGTTAAGTTTCTGTAAACTCGTAAGCCAAGAGATTATAAATTGTTTTTAATCTCTTTCGTAGACGAATTCGTTGTCACAAGTCATCTACGTTGAGATTTGCGAACTTAAAATGTTGGGTTGACCACAAAAGACAAAATTTGTTTCTGAGGCTTGGGAGGACACCATAATAGATAAGCATATAGATAGGCATGTAGAGTCTTCTTTCAGTTACTAACAAAACTTTGTAAGGCAGACAGCTGGTTAGAATTAAGATCATTATCAAAGAAATGATATTGTAATGATGGAATATCAAACTCTCAATACTAGCACAGACAGAGATCTATGATGGTAAGTTTGGAGAATTTACCTTCCTTTTTGCGCACGGCGTTCCATCTGCCCATGGCATGTGATGAGTGGAGCAGCCTTTTCTTTTCCCAATCATCTTGACGCACCACAGGCGTCTGCAAGGTTCCTTATAGAAATGGAGAGGAACAGAAGCTAAGGCACAGTGCCTCGCAAACAAAATCTTAAATATTCTTTGCAAATCCTTGCCTTGCGTATACTTTTCACAAGAAAATATTGAGAAAACTCCCTACAAAAGGCTAAAATTTTTTGTCAACATTACGTACCTTATATGGAAAAACCCTGGATTCCTCTCCAAATATCAATTGGCATTGTTTGTCCACGCTGTACATTTCTCCTGGCAGAGTGCCATGATACTTCGACTGATTTTTTACATTAGGCTTATTTTCTAGGCAAGATCCATACCCTAATCTGAAACAAAGGCGATTGCAAGGTAAGTAACTTACAGCTACAAACAGATCAATGAAGCTTCTCTATTCAGGAGACACTTCACGAGTTTACGGGTCCGGCACGGGTTTACTACGAACCAACATAATGACCAGCTCCTAGTTGGTTAGTTAGCTCAGTTGGTAGAGCACTACTCCAGTATAGCAGAAGTCATGGGTTCAAATCCCGTACAGGCTTGAAGTTTTTTCAGGCCTTACTTTCAGGACTGCTTAAGAAGTGTTCATTACGGTGAAGATCACTTTTAGATTTATTTCCTAACCCGCAGTTCACATATATGATTCTCATATATTCACAGTCATTTATTGTCGCAACCGACATGTTAAAGCATTAAACTGAAACTAGTTTTGTTACTTACTCTAAGAACCTTGTGATCTTTTCTCGGCTGCAGCTTGACCAAGACCACAGTTTGGTGTCAAAGCTTAATGAAGGGGCCATCAGATGTTGATCTCCACTGCTCCGTGTGCATAGGTTGTTATCTCCATCATGAGGAAGACTGAATCTAATGTATTGAAAGAAATAGGTAAAGGTAACAGAGGTCAACTCAGTTAATACAACGAACCTTTAAAGGAGGAAGTGGATAGGTTGAGATGAATGGGAACTTAAAGTACAGAGATAGGGGGAGGAAATAATGAAACGCAGATAGAGACAGAAGAAAGGGTGGCGGAGAGTTGAAGGGGAGATAAGGAAAAAAAGAAAGGGTTCTAAGGGAGGTGGAGAAGGAGAAGGAGGAAAAGGAGAAGGAACAAAGGAGGAGATGGAAGAGGGGGGAGCTAGAGAAGGACAACACCGTCTCGCCAGCATGGAGTGCTTTCCATGATTGGAAAATGCATCAACTGTGTCGAATGTATTTGAATTTAAGGAAGCATAGATCTTTACCATTTACTGTGTTGACCTCATCTTCCCTCAAGAGGTGTGAGAAGTATGTTATAACATAAGCTGTGAGTTGTTTCAGCCTCCTGACTGAACGTTCTCTCTTAAATTCAAATTATCTTTAAAAATTTGTGAACTTACAGGTGACCCAGTTCGTGTGCTATTGTATAAGCTGTGCTTAGTCCATTGTCCTCTGCCAAGGAGCAACTCCTTGGTGCTTGGCATATGGTTCCAAGCTCTGATAAACCTGGAATAACAAAGACATCAGTAAACCTTGACAGGAATGATAACACAGAGAACAACAAATTAAGGGGGTATTGTCTCCACAGATACTTTGTGGTAAGCACAACTTTATCATTGATCGACAATTGGGTCGACTGCGGAAAAAGAAGCCTGCGAACAGGCCCAGATGACTAAAGCGATAAAAATATAATAATAATAATAATAATAATAATAATAATAATTAGGGCTTGCTCGCAAGCTGCGCAAAAGGGTGTTTGGCTCCCGTGATCTGACAACTTCGACCAATATCGCTGTGTACCACCAATGTTTAATACTCTTTCTTAAAAGGAAAATGAGCTCATTTGTCACTGGCGAGATTTCTTAAATGTTGTAAGTTCAGATTACCTAATGTGTCACACTTTCCGGGCGATATGCAGATATCTCTCCTTAAAAAAAAACCAAAGTAAAACAATGAGTTGATCAGCTGCTGAGGAAAAGTTATTACAGCTAGTTCATACAAACATAATGTTAAAGCTAATTAAGACAGTTTTAGCTTCGTGTCTCGTAAGCTCTTCTAAACTCCAGGACATGTAAAATCTCGTAAATCGAGCTTCTCTTTTTCTTATTCAGCTTTTTCTTTACACTTCACTTTCCGAACACTTCTCACGTTTCTGGTATGTTACACTTGTTTTCGGAAGTTTTGAGCCTACTGCTTGCGTTTAACAACGCTTTCCATCGCGTCTCTTTAGTGTTCTTCGGCGCTTGGTACCAACATAACCTTTTCTTTCCCTCTTTTTCTTTCTCTTTTAAACCTTTTTTTTTTCATGTTTCAGGTGCTTTGCGGGGGCGACGGGTGTGTTTTCAACCAGTACATCATTCACTCCGTTTAGTGCCAGCCAAATGTTTTACTCCGGAAGAGCAAGGAATGTTTGTGTTTTTTCATGTTACCAACGCGGCTGCTCCGAGTGAAAGAACTGCTCGCGACTTTTTTTTTTCTTTGCATGCAAAATTTCCCTGTCCTTCTCCAAGTCTGTACATGCTCTTGCACATTTTAAATTCACATTTCCAAATACAAATGACCAAAATACATTCCCGATATTGACAAAAAATTTTACCTCGTTAACAAGATGGCGGTATCGTGGCGGTCAGACTGACTCTCTTCTGACATCATATGTTTCTTCTGCCAGCGGCAGAAACTTTTCAGAGTTCGCCTTGCGTCTAACGAAATATGGAAACCAGGCTGAAATCAATAAAACAGACAATCATTTATTTACGAACACTGCAAACACGTTTGGCCATTGTAAGTAGCCTATCAAACCTTTTGGTCATTTACTACAGGAGTTTCTCCCGTTTTTTGTTGAAAGTAGTGACTAGAAGCATATGCGCTTGTTACAGATGAAATAATACTTATTCGTAGTAAAGACCCCACCACTTTGGCAAATTTCCCCAGGCCAACCAGTTGAATAGGAGTGTCTTTCTTTTAATTATTTTTTTCCTCTAAGAACGTTGGAAACCCTAGTTTATCAGCTCTCGTTGCTTGGCTAAATTTTAAGATGTGCGTGTTCTTAAATTCAAACAAGATGAAACATGCCATTCACTTCCAGTGCAGACGTCTTCGCAGAAGATCAACTTCCGGGATTCTTCACTGCATTTGTGGTCTGATTAAACAAAACAGGAAATCGCTCTACGGAGTTTCCTGCTGTTTATACCACTTCCTTCGTTTTCTGTGCATTGGGAAGATCTCTCACGAATTTTTTTCAGCAGCCCTCAGCGCCACGGCACAGTCGCCATTTCAATATTTTTCAATCCCAGAAACTAAATATCAATTTTCCACTCAATCAATTATACAATTTTTCTAGTTTTAACTCTGGCGGTTCGATGTTAATTCAAACAATATTCCCTGGTTAATGTTGTTCTTTCTTCTCAAATTTGCTCGAAAAGATATGGATAACGGGAGAAGAAATTCCATCTTGGTCACTCTTGGGAGTGAGGACACTACTAAAGGGAGTTCTCATTTTGCCCGCCACTTAGGTGCAATTATGAATTTTCAGTGGTTCGTGACAGCGATGAAATGACTGTAAAGGCTCTGATTTTTAAAATTAAAATAATTCAAAATTTTTCTTCTCAAAATAGATTTTAATCCTTGCTCCCGCATTGCTTTTTCTTTCCTCTTGATAAAATATCTTTAATCTTCCTATGTTTATATTTTGTGGTTTCCCTCAACTGGTGATAGTTTTACATGGTTCAAAATGCAAACTGCGGGACATTACAACTGGACGTCTTTAACCCTTAAACCCGTAAGAGTTAATATATAGATTTAACCAAGCCTAAAAGCGGAGCTCGCATTTTTTTTTCCCGCACGTCTCAAGGGCACAACGCCTTGCCCCGGCCAGGACTAGAACCCGGGTCGTCCGACTCGGAGCCCTGTGCACTGACCGCTGTGCCCGCGATACAGTTGACCACGCATGTTAAAAGTAACACCTTGTACGGTCGTACATCCAATTTTTTTCGGCTTGATGGATTACTACTATTTTGTATAATTATGGGGCTACGCTCTGCGAGCTCCGCTATTAGCATCTAATTTATCTTTTAAATTTCACTTCTAAATCAAGCATCAAATCACGAGAATGAAGGAAAGATCACTAACTGAAGAAGTTCTTGATTATCTAACAAATTCTCCTTGTCAGCACCTTAGGAAATGTATAGAGAACAGTGTGGAGAATATGCATACTGATGTTACAGGGTAAAGGGTTAAAAGTTTGGTTTAATTTAAGATCCATACGTTCTTGGTGTCCAGGTAGGCTATTTTCACTACAACAATGTTTATAGCGCAGCCAATACTTCTGTCGCGATAAATTTGAGCAACCTGTTCAAGAAAAGAGAAAAAAAATCGTCAAGAATCTAAAAAAATGTATTAAGAATAACAACGAAGCCAACACAACATAAATTACGAGCAGTTCCCTCATTTTTGCGAATTTCGTCGCGCTGGTCAAAAACAAATCAGCGATGTCAGCGCCCAGCTCGGAACTCTGAGGCCCTGGCGTCAATTTTTTCAAATTTTTTACGAGCATTCCCTGCTTTTTGGCGAAGTCCGTCGCACTTGTCAAAATAAAAATCAATGATGTCAGCGCGCAGCGCGGAATTCTGAGGTCCTAGCATCATTTTTTTTTTCTTTGACTCTTCGCTGTAAAAGAGGGTCTGCTCGCACTCTACACGCAACAAAAACTCTCAGTCTCTAGTAACGAAGAAGCTACCGTTGGAATGGTGAAACGCATGGTTTGTTTCCATTATAAATTGCGAATAAACGTAAGAAAATCGATCAGACCTCCATAACGAGCCCGTATTCTTCTGTACTCAATCATATTTCGCAGTCACTTGCCGAGCCTCAAGCCCCCTTAGCAATCGTTTTATCCCATATTTCACGCAATACGCTCTATCTCTTTCGCGTTGCACAGGAAAGGAGGAGACTACCTGCCGTTGGTTTTAAGAATACCACAAGTCTCACCAGGAATTATACAAGTAAAACACATGACACGTTCTGCGTCAGGGCTGATAGGAGGCTATCGTGGAAAAGACCGGGTATAGTGGCGCGAACAAGATCAACAAAGCAGTTCTTATCTGCTAACTTCAAACATGAGAATATAAGGTCATGCGATATTACTAATACGCAGGCAAATTGGCAAATCACGAGTGAGCGATAAACTTTGAATCATCCTCAAGAAGTCTGCGCAATTCAACGATACACTTGTTCTTAACAATTGTGCACCTCTGCTTTTTACACCTTTTGTGTGTGAGAAATCGCAGAGAGATTTTAACAGTTACAAAGTGTTTTCCTCAGAGCATGATGCGCAAAGCGACTTGTAAAGGAACTACTTTTATGTTCAGTGCGCCGTGGACTTAGCTTATTTGGAGACGAGAATTCATACGAAATCTTGCACACAGACGCCTGTCAAACGAGGAATTTCAAATCTAGCTTATAGTTGTATGTGAAACGCGAAGATTTCGCGTGATGCCTCTATCTTCGCTTATCTCTTCGTTTTACTTCCTTTCTGTAACGATTAATACAAAATATTTTTTTTGCACCAATTGATCATTGAAAAAAAAAAATACTTGTGACGGATAATTCCGTAATAAACGTGTAATTTTGCGCTGTCCACAGAAGGATATAAACCGAAATATCCCTCACTATGAAAAAATATTTAAAACAAAAGTCGTTAACGCCCTAGAAAGTAGCTATTTACAATTAAAAGAAAAAACGGATCAATTTCAGTATCCTAGCAACTGCGCACCTATCCCTCCCCTAATCCAACTTTAACCAAACTTTGTCACCATTTGACTGTTATTGGGTAAGGGGGGGAGGGTAGGTGTGTCATTGCTTAATATAAGTTTGGACGTACTTAAAGAAGGTTAAAAGAAGAGAAATAATTGATAACTGATTCCGATATGTCACTTACCACACCCATCAGAGTAATAATGTAGCTTTCCAAATCGGCTTTGCTATCAAAAGCGTCAACCATAGTTTTATCAGCAACCACTAATGTTTCGACGAAGCTCTCACCGAGGCTTCTTTTATGTCTTTTCCTCGTATAGCTTTCATTGATGGGGCGTTGTGGCTGCCCACGTAAATGCGGGAGAGGTTTGTTGGTGTCTAAAATCAGAGTCAAAGCAGTGTCGTGTTATGGAAAATTTAGTTCAATCATTTTGCCTTAAGTATATAAAGTAATCTTGTTGGGTGTAATTACTCCAAATGCTGAGAGTTGTGAAAAGGCTCGAAGCTGAAGCCTTCGTAGGAAAATTCAAGTGAGGCCGAAGATTAAAAAAAAAAAAAAAACGCATCTCCTTTTCCACAACTTTACCTGATTTACACCACCATTTATGGGTAGGAAAGACAGTTTACCTTAAAATGCTTTGGTGCATTATACACGAGAGCAAGAAGGTTAACTGATTCACAATTAGGAATAGCATGAGTTCACCACCGCTATTTACAGAGTCGCTTTTAACATCCTCATGAATCTAACGAGATCACCATTGTGATCTTGTGAAGAATCTGAGATCCTCATGCATATCATGCATATCAACAATCAATAATGGTTCTGAGACCAAGTGGAGAGCAATTTTGTCTGCATATCATATGATTACAGATATACAGTTTGTTTACGAGCTAAGAAATTATGGCGAACCTTAAGAAACAAATAAACATCATTTAAATTATTTCATAACTGTAAAGAATAGCACTTCGCAGAAGTGAAAGTAACAGCGCGCACTTAGGAGCGTACATAACAGCGCGCGCCTAAGAGAGTACATAAAATGACAGCGAGCGCACATAACATCGTGCGCACAGAAGTCAACAAAACAGCGCTCATCTAGGGGCAATACATTACAAAGTGCGCAAAGAAGTGCAATAAAAACGTGCGCAGTGCGCAAAAGAGGCACATAACTATAAGGGCATAAGAGTGTACATAACAATTTGTAAGAAGCCAACTGAGTGCAAAACTTTGAAGAACTGCGACAGAAAATTTCATCAGAAGACTTACACCTGAGTGAAAATGTCCTAAAATTCACTCAAGAAACCAAAGGCTGGCCGCACTGCTAAAAGAATTGATTGAAAAGGCATTCCTCAGCTGTTTGCCACTGGATCAAAGTGATCAAAGCGTTGCATGACAAGCAAAGGGCAATGCGTGACAAGAGGATATGATTTGCAATTAAGCATCTGACCAACGTCATTTAAAATCGATCACGAAAGCATTAATAACAAGGAGTTACGTTTCGACCGTTCGTTATTGCAGGTTAATCCTGTTTAAACGTAACATGGAATGCTCACCGTGAACACGAAGATCGTAACACTATTCAACAGAATAAATGTGGCCACAAATAATTATTGTTAATATCTTTAAATTTGACGTGACCTCATTTTTTAGGCGAGTCTGATTGAGCATTGGAGTGATACGTCAATTTCTTTATTCTTCATGCTGTGTTTATGACAAAAAGAAAATTGTAAAACAATTTGCAAATTCGCAAAATTCTTTGGTTTTCAAAGTGAAATATTAATTCAATTACATCAGGTTATGAGGTTATTTTACGTTTATCAACCGCGTTCAAGAAGCAGACCGTGAGGCTTTTAAAGAGTTCACTAATAGCAGGAGTCACCGGTTGAGCAGGAACACCGAAAAATGTGTTTATGGAACAAGATAGTATTCGGAAAATCTGAAAAATTCGTAACCTTCTGTCGTTAAGGAATGACCAAACAGAAGTGACATTTCGCCATCGCACAGAGCTTAAATACGTCTCTGCGTTCTATAACAGATGGCAATTAACCACTTGCTGAAAAGAATTGAGAGGAATTTCTTGATCCAATTTGCAGGCTGTTTCTGACGTAACACAACTGTATTTTTGCTATATTGAAGCAATAAAACGCCCTCTTTAAGAAAAAAAAGGCACTGACAAGTGAAATCCAAAAGATATGGTTTTCAGACAGCCAAAACGAAAAGTAAACTTTAATGGGTTAGTTTGTTGATCGTATCGTGTCGTTGCGGGTTGACTTACGGGAACACTGTCAAGTTTTACGTCAGAGATTTCTAAGACAACCTTGTTTCAGTGTCGACCGCGACAACCTATCCATGTCAAGTGTGCCTCAACCTCTGCAGCGTTCCCGCGCTATCACGCACACGGCAGAAAGAGACATTAAGTCGACTCGTATTAAGGTACAGTTAGCTGCGCAAAGAAACTCACCAAAATTAGAGCTTAATTTTCCTCTTTTGCAGATTTGTGCACTTATAGTAAAGCAGATGCAAGGCAAGAGTTACTGTATACATACACTCTTCGCGCGTAAAACAAACAAATCGGAAACGTCCGATTCGCTAGCAATCCAGCAAGGTTGAAAGGCGTATTTATTTGTATTAACTGAAGTCGATCTCACAGTGTCCTATCTGATTTGGCATACGACATGATGTGACGTAAAATGCACTTTTTGTCATAACTCATATCAAGGTAGATATAGAATAGTGGTACTTTGAAGCAAGATAAATTTCCTGTATTGCGGAAAACGTGCATAATTGCGGGTTGATTTTACTTCTTTTTAACCGTATTGTATGCACAGACGGATCGTGTGTAATGTAAATGAAACTTACCCACAAGTCCACACGTCGACGGAGCATTGCTAACATCGTCTCCAAGAGCAGAATGACGAAATACGATATGGAATTTCCTGAGATGCGCGTGTATTTTTGAGTTCCGTTCTTCAGCAGGTTCGACTAAATAGCGTTGGCCACTCGAGACGAACGAACCATGCTGTAGAAGGAGAGAAAGTGGACACCTTATGATCAGAATTTAACTTAAAACTATCACTCTTCAAAACAAAAATGAAAAAGAAAATAAAATCTACGCGCGTTTCAGGGGGATTTTACATATGCAATTCTAATGAACCCAAACTTGTTTGTTTTTCATGATTAATGTGCTTAACGGAGGAAGTGGTTACTCGACATTCTTTTGACTAATTAAATACCCATGTACCAGCGGTTTTAGTATAATAAGAACAATGTAATTATTTTTTTCATATGTATATTTGAAGTTGCACAAGGTGTCGCCACTAAGACGGGAACGCGTGAGTTGCGAAAAATTGCTAGTATTGATTTCCATGGGGTCATTACCGCATGAAACCACTTCCGGTAGAATTGTAAACCCAAAAATCTGAAATGGCAACCTCAACTAACCCGATCCCTTGAAAAAAATGTTTTTCAAAATTATCCTCTTCACAGGACTAACCAGTGTAAAGAGTTTTCAACTCAGTGTTTATAAGCTTGTCAATTTACATGTCCCTGGCTGAAAGTCGGTCGGACAGGCCCCGTTAATTGAGTACATAAATAAAAGACTATACCGCTATCGGTCACAAAATGTTAATTTCTTCTAAATGTTTTCATCACATGGATGAGAATCACATGGAACTGTTCTAAATCGAATTAAAATTACGGAGCGGTGAGCGGTAAGGAACAGGAACACCGCCTGAGCGTTACAGTACATTCACAGCGCTGCGCGGTTGTATAAAACAAATCTATGGAAATCAAAGCGCGAATTAAAACATCAATTATAACAACATATGTAAACAGGACAAAGGTACTTACAACTCCGTTGCACAAATTAAACACGGCAGTAGAATTTGGCTCTCCCTGGATTTCCCCACGATAAAAACAGTGCTGCAAATTCCCAGAGAATGGAAGTCTCCTAAGATCACTGTAAATATGCTCTACATTAAGTGCAGGCGATATAAAGCTCGCGTCGCGCTCCAATCGGAATCGAAAAGTTTGACCAAACGCAGCAAGTCTATAATAAACTGTGGCCATCCCCCATCCGTTGTGTTCGTATCTAACAAAATGTTTGTTAAGCGGATGGCGTTTTCCGAGGCGATTCACTCGCTCTACGATTGTCATCTCATACTCAATGCGACCATTGTTGTTGGAGATACCTCTAGGTAACAGCGTGCGACCTGTATCGGAGAAAAATCCAGGGTAATTGCTATAAACACACTAAGAACTGAGAGTTTCGACTTACGCTTAGCAGCGTTAAAACGTAACAATTTCCACTCACCTTTTGCATATTTCTTGTGTGTCGCTGCACAAATTTGCTGAATTAGAAGAACTATTAATACACTGCAAGATATTCTCTTCATGGTTCAAGATTTCGGAGATTTGGAGTTGTGCCCTTGATTTGCGGGGACTTTCTCTGGAGTGTTTTGTTAGACAGGACCTCGAGGAACGTTCACGCTTGACCAATTACTGGCCAGCTCGTCGATACGATACGATACGATACGTTATGTGTGATGACGCATATCACCTGGTGAGAATAAAGAAGTTCTTCATAACAAATCTGTATTTTATTCTTTACTGGGATACCTGTGGTAGCCCAGTCATAAAACGCCTTTGTTTTTTTGTCGTCTTTTTTTTCCTCCGCCACAAAATGGAAAAATTGCGCAATCGTACCCAGTGGTCATAGGGCCCTCAACACCAAGGCAACTAACTGTGATCCAATGAGGGTGAAAGTGTTCACATGCTGATCACGTGTGTTATCTTGATGATGATCGACGTTGTCATGGACAGGAGAGGGCCGGGTCACATGACGAACCACGAGATTTTTGCTTTTAACCCTTTAACTCCCATGAGTGACCAAGGCAGAATTTCTCCTTACAATATCAATACAATATCAACCAGATAAGTGATGAGAATAGAGAAAAATATCAATTTGGGGATAATACGGTGATCCAATAATAAATTCTCTGAACTAACACTGTAAGAATTGTGTGGTTGACGGTAAGGAGAATGACAAATTTGATCTGGGAGTTAAAGGGTTAAAACTCTTTAGTCAGCCACTTTGTATTTGTTCTGGGGTTGTTGTTTTGGCGATGGAGGTGTCACGTTTTTGGTTTACGATTACCTGGAGCTTTACCTCGAGCGGTATTTTTGGAACGGACTGATCGAGTCGCGAGCGCTTGAAAGTCTTGTATGCCTTGAAAGCTATGAAAGCCTTGTATGCTAAGTACTCCAATGTCCTAGTTGAAAAACGTACACTTGTTGAAAAAAGCAAAATCTTAAATCTGAAACCAAACTGCATATATTCTATGCAATCTATTAAACAACACTACTACCGTGAGACTGAAGAACAAAATTCTAATGGATGCAAACTGCTTGTGAAGAAAGACGCCATGTTGAATTCACTTGATGCCCAGGAACGTACATAGCTACGATAACAGTACGAATGGTATTAATTTCACGATCAGAAAGGTGAATCTTATGTTTGTTTTTATTGTAGTGGTAGGGGTATTCTTTTTTAATAAATACGTGATCCAAAATCCTGCGTCTTTTGAGTATAATGTTATGATGTTATCTCTTGTTTACGCAATTGTCTTGTGGGCTAATTTCTACGTAAAGTTGTTGATGTCTCCAACAAAAGCTGCCGTGAATAGCTTCGATGAATGTAAAGTCTTTGAGAAAGCTGCTCAGTTATCCGTTATTGTATATGATAATAAGCTTAATGATAGCAATGATGAAGCATTTTCAACAAATACAGTCTGTTACTGTAGATCTCGATACAACAAATTTGTTTATTTTAATCGCCCTCGTACACATAATATTCGTGTTTGTGATCGTGAGCCCAGAAGAATACCAAAGAAAAGAATTTCACGTATTTGAAGAAATCCTGGAAGGTAAGACGTTTACTTCGAACCTACATCAGAAAAAGCATACCGAAGTCTTCCCGAATGCATCTTTTTACAAATAAAGCTCGTGAAAAAATATATGCACATGGAATCAGATGCGAGAATTAAGGAACAACGAAATATCCCTCTTCTGCAGTAAGGAGAAAATATCGAAAGTCTAACAAATACAGGATACTGAAAATGCAAAACCAAAATCCACATGTAATAAAAAGTCAAAAGCCAAAGCAGTCGAATGCATGGAGGTCTAATTCAGTACCAAATGTTTATAAAAATATGAATCACAGGGTAAATTGTTGAAGTCCAATCTGTCTGGGGATATAGAAACAAACCCTGGTCCTGTTATTAATTCTGTTAAAACAATTCAAGCTCCTTTCAGTCAAGACAATGTGGCAATGTTTGGGTTAAATGCTGGTACACAATGTGTAGGGGGGGGGGATGGTATTGTATCCTCAGTAGACTTGGTAAATATCATGAACATTGAAAATGAATTGTATTCTGGTCTATCTAGTCTATTCAGGTAATTCTAGTTACTGTTAACAGACGTACCTGAAATGATAATAGTTTTTGATATGAATTATCAGCTTCAATATAATCCAAGCTATACTAGTACTATACATGGTACTTGTGAAGTACAAGATTTCAATTATTGTATGTCATTTGCTAATGCCATGCAGGCTTTGCTAGGACAAAATTACAATTCCTTTTTTTAACAATCCTTAGTACTACAGTAGGTTTTTACTGTAATGGTGATGTTAAGTTTAAGATATTTGATTCTCATGTGGTAGAGATTCATATGGTATGCCCCATCCTCAAGGAACTTGTGTGCTGTTGGAAGTTAACACCTTAAATGAGCTGATAAACTATTTTCAAGGTCGTTATCAAAATCCAAATGTTTTATTTGAACTCAAAGGTGTACATATTAATGAAGAACAATGTGATATGACACATTTCTGATCAACAGTTGTCAGCTGTCCCCCTCGAAGCAAATCATGCAGATGCTGAAATTACAACCATTCATATTCCCTGTTGTGCCACATCTTTTTGTAGCATTTGTTTTTCCATGATCAAATATTGTGGGTATTGGAATTCACAGACTCTAGATAGAATCACTGACCATGCAAACAAGTGTTACAAAGAAAAACTCATGGTAATAACCATCCACTGACTATTAACAATTTCCCAAGGACTTCAAATATATGATGCAAATATTAGTGGTGCCTTTAATTTGGAGAAACGAGGCAAATTATTGCTTCAGAAGCTAATCACAGATAATACTAGGGATAATACTGGGTTTTTAATGTGGATCTCAAACTATTGCTTCAGCTGTATTTTTCAGCACAGTAAATAAATATGAAAACAAAAGCAAAAAGTGTTAAGTGCTTTATTATAAGATTCAGTCCTAATGGTAAACTTGATATATTTGAAAAAATGAATGACATAGATATTCTTATTCAGTCATAGGGGGATATTGTATAAAAACAATTCCAGAGTAAAGATGAAGAATATTGTATTAAATTTATATGTTCAACTAATTTGTCAAATGCTGGAAGACAAAAGGTAATGGCAAAACATAAGTCTCATAGTCAGAAAGAACTACATGCAAAAAGGAAAAAAAAAGCTATGCACAAATGAAACCTGCCATGAAAAAAAAAGTTTTGTCTGATAAAGCAACATGGTACAAGTCAATGGATCCTGCAGAAAAAGAAAAGCTTTTATCTCACAGAGCTGAGTGGTATAAATCACTGGATCCTAAAGAAAAAGAAAAGCTTTTGTTCAAATCAGCAGAGTGGTAGAAATCACTTGGTTCTGTAGAAAAACAATCTTTTATCTAGCAGAGCAATTTGGTAGAAATCACTGGATACTGCACAAAAGCAAAAGAGAGCTGAGAATGGTTTAACTTGCTTGATTCTGCACAAAAACAAAAAAGAGCAGAATGGTATAAGTCATTGAATCCTGAAGGAAAAGAAAAACTTTTGTCTGGCAGAGCAGAATGGTATAAAACACTGGATCCTGCAGACAAAGATAAGATTTTATCAAAAGTCCAAGCTAATAAGGAAGCCTATAGAAACTCAGTTCAACATGATTTAGATCACAACTTTTCAAACTAAGATTAGGGAAGGTCCATATTTTTAAATTTGCTCTGTTTGTAATAGAAAACTATACAGAAAAACTGTTATCCAGTAAAAAAAACAAACGTACAACACTCAGCAAGAACTATTTACTGACATTAAGTCATTTGATGAAAATCAGTACATTTGTAACACCTGTCACACAAAAGTTTTGAAAGGGCAAGTCCCATGTCAAGCCGTATGTAACAAATTACATGTTTATGAACTACCACCAGAGTTGTCCATTCTAGAGAAGCATGAACAGATACACCACAGAGAATAGTGTTTGAAAAATCAGTAGTCATGCCCAAAGGTCAACAAAGAAAGAATAAAGGTTCAATCTGTAATATACCTGTTGAATATGATCAAACACGCAATATATTACCACGTCCCCCAGAAAGATCTGGAATAATACTGTTGAAACTGAAAAGAAAATTGGAATTTAGAGGTCATGTCTATTTTCAAGCAGTGCGCCCACAAGTAGTAGATGACAACCTTTTTTGAAATAGCTGTATGCCCCTAGTCTGACACCCGTAGTATCACTACACTTGATCTCAAGGATCTAGTACCATCCAGGTATTCCAGTTACCCTGCTCACAGGGTCCATTTTAAACTTAAAATTTGCGTGTTTGGAACAGCCTGCAAATTGATTTCGTTTTGACTACAAGGTGGGTTGTTTGTTTATACTGTGGTTGATACAACAAGCGAATTCTCATTTACGTCACGGAAATCATTACGAATTGTCACAGGGCGGTTTCAATTTAGCGCTTATAGCCGTTTGTAGCGGCCTATAAAACTCAAATGAAAGGAAAGTTCATGAAAGGAAAACAGCCAAGAACTCGATACAAATCAGTAGCTTTGTTTATACACAGAGCTACCTTAAAATGTCTAGGGTACGAGAGAGTTTTGAGATGATCACAACACTCGTAATAACAATGAAGCTGATTTGAGCGACCCGATGTCGTTCAAAGCGCGGAAAAGATTGTCATAGCTGCTACCGAATAATCTTCGCAACACAATAACAATCAAAACGAGTCAGAAAATTTGGATTCAAGGCAATTGAGAGCACAAATGCCTTATAAAACACCGTTTTCATCACGACAGTCGCGCAAGCAGCAGAAACTTTTTTATCTCTTCCGTTTGCTATTGACCACAAACAAAAATCAATATTTATATCACACTTCTCAATTAGCACCAGTAACTGGTGCTCTACCAAGATACGACAAATATCGCACGATCTGGAAGTCACATCAGGTCCGAAGTCTGATAAAAAGATATCAGTGCTGGTCACATCGCAAAGCTTCGGCATCACTTACAAAATTCTGAAGCGATAACAACTTATTACAACTAATAACATCATCAAGTTTCGTATTCCTACAATCGCCTATAGTGTTTGCATCATGGCGTTCCGTTAAAAAAATGGTTAAAAAT